GCTGAATAGTGAGTCAGTGGATCCACTCTTAATTTTTGGCATTACTACTCTGCCACAGAAGTATACATGAGAGAAAAGGAGATTGCCTTGTTCTGCTGCTACTTCTCAAGAGCTGATCCTGCAAAACTTTCCACAAGGAATTATTGCGTGTGCTGTTAAAAGTACCCTCTGGACTTCAGTGTGAAGGAAAGCTTGCTCACGTATTTTTTCATCTACAATTCCTTTTTTATTTGACATTTTCTATAAAAGTACTGTGCTCAGTTAAAATTTAACTGCTGGGCTGAACGATCATCTGGCATATAAAAGCTGAAGACACGGTTCACGTTTGTCTTTTGGAAAGAGAAAGGAAAACATTAGGGGAAAAACACGTTGCAGATCAAGAACATAAAAAGCATTATGTGGCATAAGCAGAACAGTGTGTGCACTAACATTTTGATGGCAGGAGTAGTGCACTGCATATTTCTTGGAAGCCCTTGTTTTTACCCTGACTTACAGAATCACATAAAAAACAGAGTGAAGCATGCTCAGCTTTGTTGCAACAAATGTGTGGTTTATATACTGCAAGATCTGTATAACAAATGATACAGGCAATTTGCTGTCAGTGTTTCAAATAGCTGTTCTCAGGAGATATAAAATGGTACATAAAATGTGAAGATTCAGTGCATTTTTAGTTCTCTCTCCCCCTATTTTGCAATTTTTTTTTTTTCTTAAAGTTTGTGTTTATAGAGTGCTACAAAGTGGCATCTTGTGTGATCTCTGGCCTATTAGCAGACTGCAGCTTCTTTTGTAGCATGAGTAATGGAAGTTCCAAAAACTTCTGGAAATTCAGGATAAGTATACATTGCTTTGTTTCCGTGGAGTGGGACACCATCAGTAAAGTTCTGCCTTGAGCCCTGTGTGGTTTAGGAGAAGGGGATTTGCACCTCTGGGTTCAGTGTAGGCCTTAGTGACAAAATATAAATACTCTGCAAAGACTGAAAAATCCATGGACTTTATTCCATCAATGGAAATCTTCCGAACTGCTTGTAAGGAAATCCAGAGGAAGAGGTTGGGGAGGGTCTGCGAGGTTCCCACAGGGAAGTGGAGCCCGAGGGCTGAGCCGCAGAGGACGAGAGTTTCTGATATTTGTCCACTCTGCTTTCCGTGTCAGTCTCTTGGTGACTGGTTTTTTTCCAGTTTCCTGAAGTCAAGGATAGAACCTGGATTTAGAGCCTAAGCACTGAAATGCATCAAAGGAGCATTTTTGTCTTATTTCCTAACCGGCTGTGAAGTCTGCTGCTTGTTTGGACAGGCTGTCCTTGAGGACTAACGGGAATGTGACTGAGCAGCACAGCCATTCAGCCTGTTAGCTGTTCTCCTGGAGCTCCAATTGGAAGGGAAATTAAATTATATTAGTGCTGTTTACGTTTGGAGACTGGTGTGAAGCTTTGGAGCGGAGTTTTTTCGGTTTGTTGCACTGAGGTTTGTTCCCCGGGGAAATGGCAGTTCTCTGGTGCTCTCTGCTTGGTGCAAAACTGAAGAAGTCAACAATTTCAAAATGGTTTTAAAAAATTTTCCATCAGGTTTCCTGGATCTTGCAAAGCGAGCCTTGGTTTTAGTGAAGCTTAAAGTTGGACAGAAAGTATGGAGAAGTTTAATGTATTGTGTCAAGTCCTTGCTTGACACAAATTTCATTTCTCTTAATTTTTAGATACAGGGAATTCTCAGGTCTTTCCTTAAACCAGTAAGGGCTAGTATGAGTCAGGATAACTTCATATCTTACAAGCAGGTACCCTTGGTTTAAAAAATTGCTTTTAGAGTTGTGCTTTTATAGTTCCTTTTCTAAAGAAAGTTTGAATTGTCTTGGTTACATCATTTCTTTCTTTTTTTTTTTTTTTTTTTTTTTGCAAACCAGGGAGACACACTTCAGCTGTGTTCATATAAACATTGAATAAATCAGCAAAGTGCTACTTGGATTCTTACATTTCTAAATAGGTTAGAAAACGTCACAAGTTACATTTATTATTTACCCGCTGGAGATTAATTTTGTGAGTCATACTGCTGAATCTGCATGAATAGGAACTTGTGCACATCAAAGGCAATTAAATATGATGCAATTGCATTTCCTTTCCCACTTCCCCATTTGTGTACTGCTGGCTACAGGGAACAGAATTCCCTTGTCAGAGTAACCTGGTGGATCTACAGGGAAGGAAAAAAGTCTTTGAATTGGTTTCCTGACTTAATTATTGCCCACTAATAGTCAAATAAGAAGGAAAGAAGTGGCCCTTTGTGCCTGCAGAGGTGGTCCTGCTCTCAGAGCTCTGCTTTGCAGTTCCTGAGCTGGTGACTTGAGCCAGTTCAGTGGCACAAGTGTCTCATGCCCAGGGAGCAAATACAGACTGTCTGCTGTGTTTTGCTTCAATGGAATCCTTAACTAAAAACCTGGGAGTGTATTAGTCCTTTTTATAACTTACAGTTTCAAACTGACTTTGGAACAGTATCATAAGAATTTAAATGCAAAGAAACCAATTGACTATGAAAATGTGATAGAACTAATAATTTATATTGACTTCACTCTGTTCTACCCCTCCTCAGCTGGAGTTTAGGGTCTTGTTCTAGAAATGAGCAGATGGTTTTAGAAAGGCTCCAGGACATAGTCACCTCTTAGCACTGTTGGTGCAGTTGATCTCAGTTGCTTGCAGTTTTGTGATGTGTTTTCTCAGAAGACACGAAGTGTTTTAGGACAAAAATGCTCATGCTCGGGGCTGGAATGAGATTCTCTTGGTCTATTTCTGTATGGAAATCTCAGCCTTCAGAACTTCAGATATCTGGGATATTATTTTGTGTTAGTTTCAGTGATAGAAGAAAGGAAATATTTTTTAATTTCTTCATAATATTCCCAAATAATGTAAGTAATATGGCTAGAAAATTTGTATTTTAGGAAACAAAATTAGTAGTTAATCTAGGTTTTATCTTATTATTTCAAATACAGAGATTCACAGCTGAATTGCTTAAGCAAGTGTCTCTGTACGTAAAGCTCTGTGTTCAGAAGAGGTAACTTGAATGTTCTGGATGAAGCTTCTCCAAGTCTCGGAATCCATAAATTATGTTTCAGTATTCCTTGCCCTGATTTATTTCATGTAAATCCATAATCAAAGCAGAGGTATGTTATATGAATAGATTCATTTAGAGGTGATTACTTCTAAATGGAAGGGAATCTCACAAGTTTGCTGGGTAACACGAGAGAAAATGATACAGCTTTACAAAATCTGGATGGAGCTGCTTTTCCTCGATGGCAACATCTACTGCTTCTTTTTTTCTGAGCATGAAACTGCATTGGATTTGGCATTTATTAACAACAAATGAATTTTGAAGTCCATCAAGAAGCAGGTTAGGAAGCTGTATGTCTGGATTAAGTCAAGCATGAGCTGTGTGGGACAAGGATGTTGGTCTGTGAGCTCTGTTGAGCTGCCATTTGCTGCCCAGTCCTACTTGAATGAGTAAGGAATATTTGAGTTTGGCTTGTGGTATTAGACCTCTAATAAATAAAATGTAGACTGCCCTGAAAAAACATCCCCTGCAGAAGCCAAAGGGGTTGTTCAAGTTTGGGTGGGCTGCTGATGTCAGAGAGGAATGTGCCCAGTGGTTGTGGGGTGAAAAGCAGATTCAGGGAACTGGCTGGTGTTTGTGTTGGCTTGGTGCTCAGACATTCCTCCTCCTCCTCCTCACACCGGTTCCCAGCTGTGCTTCTGTCAGTCCTACCAGATTCCTTAGCAGTGTTCCTGGGGGATTTCTGTGCTGCTCCCATAGATGCCACACAGAAATGGTCAATCTGATGCTTAATCAAGCAAGTTCAGTGTCCTTTTATGCATTCACTTTGTTCCACTCAAGTTTAGACTCAGATGTGGTGACCTGCAAGCTATAGGTAGGGTCTGAGAACGAAGAGAAGTGTTTAAAAACGAGTAAAATAGGTTTGCTGGAATACTGAGCTTTAGTTTTCTCTCATCATTCATTTTAGGCTTTTTTGTTGCTGGTGTTTTTTTTTTTTTCCCCCCAATGTATCTTTTTGAAAATACAGCTTTCTGCACTTGGACAGACTGACCCTACCTTTCATGGCCCAATAAATCAGTGTACTTATAGCATCAGTTTGTAAAATACCCCGTTTCTTTGTTAAATAACTGTCGTTTTAAAGGCTTTGGAACTGAAAGCCTTACAGTGTTTCATCTTTCTACCAAAAAAGTCTTCATGTGCTTTGAACATTAATGAGAGAGAGAGATATAATTTACCACCTTATGGCAAGATTCCTGGCTTTGCAGATCAGGCTTTCCTCACACAGAGACTCAGGACAGGAACCCATCTGTGTCTCCACTGGCAAGAGGAGGGGTGTTGGTGGCTTTTGTCACCATGGCTTAAATTTCCCTATAAACCTCTAAATCCTCTGGTGTCAATAAATTATGTTCTGTTGCAGCTTAAAACATATGAATCTTCTTGCTGAAATCAAGCTGCTTTATTCCTTCTGTAACCTTTAATTAGGAAGATGTGAAAAAACCTTTCATAAAAATGTTCTGACCTGCTAGTGGCCTCTGTCCTTGAAAAAACCCATCCCTGGAACAGTCTTGGCATGCTTCATTAGCTCAACTTCTGGATTAAGTTTTTATTTCTTTGCTCAAATCAGTCCCTGGTTTTGGAGGGTATTCCCTGGCTGGTTGCCATCATCTGCTCACAGTTCAGCAGAAGTAATTCAGCAGAGACACGTGTGTGTCCTGTGTAAAACGTGAGAGGATTTCCAGGATGATAAATGTTATATACCTGACAGAATTCGCATTGCAACTGGGAGGCATTGATGCTGTGAAGGTGTGAAGATCAGAGACAAAGCTGAAACGATTTCACTCGTTTACGTGCTCTCTTGGTGTATTTTTATTTTTTAATGTGTAATTTTAAAATATTCCATTTGCAGGTGATTTGTCTGCTCTCTTGGCGTATTTTTTTTAATGCATAATTTTAAAACATTCCGTTTTCAGGTGACCATGGCCAGGATTGGGATTAACGAGAGCCGCTCGAAGGAGACGTGCGAAACGATACTTTTCGCCCTCCGAATGGCCACGTGGAACCAGATTTTAGATCCCTGGGTGTACATTCTCCTCCGGAAGGCCGTGCTCAGGAACCTGTACAAGATCACGAGGGGCTGTTGCGGTGTTCACATCGTGAACTTGCACGTGTGGGAGCTCAGCTCCATCAAGAATTCTTTGAAGGTTGCGGCGATATCCGAGTCGCCGAGTTCCAAACAGATAAACCCGCGGCCGCTCAGCTCGAGGGGACAGTGAAGTTTAACACAGTCTGTGAAGAGACAGTGGAGGCAACGCTCGTGCAGGGGCAGTACCTTGAAGTGAATTCCAAGGCTCAGTGCTTTGGCACGTCTTTTAAATTGTGAGTGGTTTGCTGTTGTCGCTCGCCGGTTTGATATTGCTACTCCAAAAGATGCCCTGGGATGTTTTAATTCTTTCTGGAATACATCCCTTCCAAAACTGGTAGTGGAATGATAAGTCATCCATATTTCTCCCTTCCAGGTACTAAAGTGAACAGGGCTCCTTATAATACTCCCCACCAAACCTTGGAGGGCTTCTTAAGACTGGATGCGAGTGCAAAAGTGTTCTCCAAGGTGATTTTTAAAAGGAGTAGATTTTCTCTACCCCAAATCCTTTGCAGAGTCACTTCTTTCTAGGATAAAGTCCAGTGTCCTTTCCATAAGGGTATTCTTTGCTTCTAGGCATTGAATTTACCAATTGTGTATATAAAAGACATTTTGCTTGTTCCTAGTTTATGAAATGATCCACTTTGCTTGGTTCATTGATTTGACCTCTTGTTATTCCATGAGTTTTTGGGGAGAGCTGCAAGCTTCATCAGTGTAAGTGTTCCTTTCAGCTCACTGACAAAACCCAAGGTTTCCTGTGGGAACACAGGAGCAGAGCAGCTCAGCTTGCTTAGTTACATTTTCAGATTCATTGGTGAGTTTTTAGTCCTTTCAAGAAATTTTGTTGAAACGACCAGACATAAAGCAGCGGTTGGTCTGTAAAAATAGGTTTTCACCTCCCTCCCAGAACTGAAGGACAATTCTGGAAGTGTTCCCCTAGTGCACATACTGAAATGCTCATGTGGTACATCTGCTTCATTTGTTAAAGGTCACAAGTGTCTTGTGAAAATGTGTGTGACCAAATGAACACCTCTGCAGGGAACTGCTTTGGGAATGTGGTTTTGTTTGTGCAAGCTGAATGCTCAGTTTTTGCAGGGTCTGTGTCTGAAGAGCTGAGAACATTCAGTATATTTGAAGGTACCAGAAGGTTTCCAGGACTTCACACAAAAGGCCCTTCACCTATAATGCTGCTAACAGAAGCTTTGGTTTTTGTGACTGTATGCTGTTCAGAAGCAAAAAATGAGAGGTGTTGTTTTAGGATAAAAAGATCTATTTTATTTTTATCTACTTAACTTCAAATAACTACATTAGTGGTGTTGTTATATTTGAACAAAGTAGTTAAAAACAGATTCACCAAGAGAACAGTCTGAGGGACCAAAACTATTCACAAAGTACAAATTCATGTTGTACGTGAGAATAGTTTAAGTCAGAAAATAAAAAACCAAAAGGTGTAAATATTTCATTTTTTTTTTTAAGCTATTTCCTTTTTGTTTTAAAAAAGTTGAAAAATAAGTGGGTTAAATAACCCTGTAATGAAATGGCTTCATTTACCCTAAAGAATTTCTGTATGTGATTTGTTTTCTCAGTCGTGGAGCTGATAAGCCGTGGACAGATTTGATGCTGGTATAAGTTCTGCACTGTTGCTTCACGTGGGTTCTGCTGAAATCTGAAGGCATTCACTCAGTGCTCAGTTTGGCTTTTTCATTTTGTAGAATATGATGTCAGTGTATCTGTTGATATAAATTATTTGTTCCTTATGGGAGATTGTTGTTTTAGCAGCTGCAAAAAAAAACATTGGTCCATAAGCTGTTGAGATGTTTGATCGGTGAATGAAGCTCGACAATGTTCCATTTTGTTGTGTGAATAAATGTAGCTTGTGTAGTTCAGACTGGTTGACTTGCAAAGCAAACAGAAGTTTATATGTATATGTGATTTCTTATATTTTGTGTACTAATACATATTGAATGTAAATTGTAAAGCCTCATTAAAGTTATCAAACTGTATTGTGAGTGTTATGGTATTTTTGTGTAACAAAAGAGATCCAAAGTTGTTAAAAATAATACTTATGACAAAAAACCTCACACTGGATTCAAGACAGGAGGTGATAGGAGATGTTTGAACACTTTGCTGTCTGAGGCAGGAAAGGTCAAGTTCTGATGACCCATTCTCAGAAAATGCAAATAGAAGCGGAGCTGAGGGAGTTTGGTGTTTGGGACAAAAGTATTTTTATCCAAATACCTGCCAACAGGTTTCACATACGCTGTGAATCCTGGAAAAAAATGGGAGTTTTGCTGTTAATATTTTGTCTTGCTCCGTGGTGTGACAGCCTGCAGAGGCAGCTCAGGGTGCAGCCACCCGAGGATCTGTTACCCCCGAAAGGGATTGGATTATCCTTGTATTCCACTCACAGGAGAGCCAACAACGTGCTGGGCTGGAGGATTAGTTATATATTTTATGGAATATGAGATTATAAAAAAAAACACCTGTGGGATGGCTTCACATTAGGATCTGAGTGCTGCCCAGGCAGGGAGCAAAGGACAGTCTGCTTAGCAGCGTGCTGATGATCTGGGTAACGATGTGAGCAGTCATGAGCTGCCTATTTACTGCTGGCAATAATTAGTGCCTCCAGAGCAGGCTGGGGCAATAAGTGCTCTGGTGGGAAGAAAGTGAATCTCATTTCTGACTAATGACCAAAGAAATCCTCAGGGTGGGAGAATATTTTAACCTAATTGGGTCTTAAGCAATGGCAGGCTGTATGAGGGAGGACATTATCCTAAAATGAGGTCCTAGCCTGGGCTCAATAAACGTGCTGAAGCAAAGAAACCATCAGTAACCAGTTGCTCATCACAGGGATTATGCAAATATCTGTAGTTTGTTACCTGGATACAAAGATAGAGAGCAAGGTTCAAGGCCTTTTAGATCTGATTCTTGAGACAAAGTGTCCACCTTGTGTGTTTTTATTAGTTTAGTCTGATGTGTTGGGAACAATTTCAGGAATGGCAGTACGTGCCAGTTTTGTAGCCATGGAGATCCTTTAGAACGAGATGTTGGGACCTTTTGGATGTGCCAATACACTGCTCCAGGATGTTCCTGGTAACACAGCACTCCACTGTGTAGCAGCATAGATTGGCGTGAGATTTAATGCTCAAAACTTGGGTCCTGGGAAAAGTGCACAAATCCAAGGGGATTTACAACACCTGTTGTGACTTCTGTTGCATCCTAAAGAAAACCCAGATGCTTTTCAATTCAAACTTCTGCAACCTGTCACCATTAAAAATGGCAAAGCTGCTCTTGCACTTCAGCAAGCAGTGACTTTCAATTAAATGTTGCTGCATTATATTGAGGGAAGTATTTAATCCTTGAACAGACGTTGTTTTCCTGCTGAATGTTAATTTTGATACTCTCTGGGAAATTTTTAAATACTAATAGTGTAATGCTGTGTAAAAAGTGAGATAAAAGAGGGGCTCAATATGAGCAGTTGCATTTTGTGTTCTGGAGATAACCCCGAGTTTACTACTATGTGATGAGGAGTAGCTGCAAGGAAGAAAAACAATTATGAGTTCCAACACCCCCTGGCCAGCTAGTATTGAGTGTCTATCTCAGATGGAAAATGTTGCACATTAACACTACGTTGATTGGTTCAGTAACAACATGCTTTGTATTCTCATAAAAATGCCTTTTCAGAGGTGTGTTGCTCCTTAACCAGTGGATGCAGTGATGTGGGGAATGGTGATGACAGGTGTTGCGTGTCTCACACATTCTTGTCTTCAACTCTGGAGCTGGGTAAACAATGGGGAAAATGCCATATTTGATTCTCTGCAGAGAACAGCCACTATCACAGCTTGGTTTCTGATGGTCATTAATGCATCCAGTTGGATGATTTGGACAGAGACCTTTTTCTGTTGTAAATGTAGCAATTCAGACTATCAAGTAAATGGCTTCTTCTGCACCAAAATGTTTGTTTGCTGTTGATTTTACTCAGCTGTTTTGTGGACCCATGCCCTTGGTGGGAGGAGGTCAGGCTGGTGAGCAGGATCTACACTTGCTGATTATTATAGGATTCTTAAATGTAACTCACAGATTCATTAACTCATACCTTCTGCAGGCTTTCCCAAGCTTTCCTAGTTATTCAAACTAATTAGGTCACAAATAATTCTTTTGGTGAAGGCTGAAAGACAAGGACAGTTGTAAATCTTTCTCATCTGTTCCTGGTTCTTCCTTGGTGAGTAGGAATCCATACTCTTTCTGGTTTTCACTTCACTTTAATACTGTTGGAGAAATCAAAACAGATTTGCAATCTGACCTTTATGTAGCTGGTGCTCTGCCTTTTTTTTTTTTTTTTTTTTTTTTTTTTTTTTTTTTTT